AAAAAAGGCTTAAAAAATATGGCTGATCATGGTCCCATGAATGTGCTATGTACATGCTATGTTTCTATTTATGTTGAATTGCTGTTATATATATATATATAAGTATTGATGTAAATGACAGTGTATTAAAATAGCTTATACCTTGACGTATCCCACCATGTGATATGCTATTCTCTGATATCTGAAACTTTAAAAAATATTTTAATTAAATTACAGATGTAACCATTTTTACCTTATGCAAGGCTTCTGGTGCCATTTATTTTATCTGTACAAAAACAGCTTGTTATGCTGCTTGATATTGCTAACTGGAATTTGTTAGCATATTTGTTAGTGGAAATAACCATATTTCTGGCGAATTAATTGGAAGTCTCACACATTTAGGAAATAGATTACTTCCACAGTGAAAAACAAGGTGGACATAAGATGATTACATCAAATAGAAAGGTAAAAGTTCCCAGACTAACTAGCTTTAAATAGCTAGCGCAAAGTACTTCGAAGAAAACAAAGGAATGGAAAAAATACTGTCCCATAGTATTGATAGAAAACCATCATCACATCACTATACATCCACGTCACTAATACGAGCCGCGAACGGTTTGTAATCTTTCTTCTCATGCTGATCCGTGCTCAAGCTATAGTACGTAAATTATGCATTATCTATTTTGCTTAATATTTGCTAGATATTTTTTGTTTCTTACTTGAATTGTGCTGTTAACTAGATTTATTGTAAGGCCAAAGCAAAGTATGTAGGCTTTTCATGTTGGTCAGACAGACCTTTCCTTTAATTGTGCAGACAATATACTGCAAAGTTCAACAGGCTAAGTCAGCTCATGTCTATTTGAATATTATGGCCATCCATAAAAGAGACCTGAGATAAAAGCCTCTGAGCTTCCATTTCATATTGGGATGAATGAAACAAACCAAGCAACTTGGCATTGTTCAGATCACAAAGTGAGAGGTTTCCTTTGTCAGCTTGTCAGCTCTCTTCTTAACAAAAATAAGTTGTATTTTATGCCTGGTCTATAAAAAAAATAAAAAAAACTTAGTGTTTTAGTGTCATGCTTAGTGTCATATTAAATATATGTACATACTTTATTGTGATGCTTATATTGCAGAGCCATTTATTGAGTAAAAAAAAAATTCAATTTGTGATTTTATTTACATTTATCTTCTTAGCTTTGGTTATATTTAACTATAACATTGTATTTTTTGTTTCACAAATTTTAGAAAATTCACCAATTCCCTTCACATATCCCCATCAAAAGGAATATATATGAATCTATATATAAAAATACAAAAAAATCAGTGTAGCTACAATATAATTTGCTGTAATCACACAGTATGTTCGTGTAAACAACAAAAACTGAATACAAATTAGACAAAACACCAAATTGCGCCAGATTATTACCAACAACAACAATATTCCATATCCCCCCATAGTTCATCCCTCAAAAAGCATTTGTAAACAGCACAAGTGTCATGCAGATGCTGCGTACACATGCACAGAGCTAGTGCACACTGCAACATCAGCAGAATCCAGCAAAACACACACAGGTGAATGAGTGCTAAAGCCAACACACAACCAAGATGATGCATCAGACACAAAGCAACAGCTATACCGTACGGAGAGAAATACACAGACAAAGGGAATAAAAGAAGGACTCACTGCAGTGGGAGAACCCTAAAACCTGACCCATGCTCCATCAAGGCACCGCTGGGCCCATCCAGTCTGGAGTCCCCTCTCTCCTTGGCTGAATCGCTCCTCTCTTGCTCTGTGTTCCTCATGCACCCCTCCCTGCCTTAATGCACTGCTGTTTCCTTTCTCTCAGCCTCCCTTCTCTTCATCACACGGCCCCTCCCAGGTTCACTCGCTCTCTCATTCTCTGCTGCAGCCAATAGAGGGTAGATGAAGAGACCGGTCTCAGAATGCCACTATGAGTGTGTGTGTTGTCAGTATGAGTGCATCCATGTGTGTATAGCTCATCACTGTCATCTCAGATCAACATCGTCTTTATCTCCATCCGCTTGAATTTAACAAGGATGAACATGTATAAATAACCCCATGATTTTTATTTCATTTTTAATTGGCGCCTTTTAAGATGCAATTACTTAAGAGATTTAATAATACATTAAATGAATATATTTTAAATAAATAACATTCATTCATTAAATTATATTAAATAAATAATACATTTGAATTATTTTCATTTTAAATATTTTAATTTAAAATAATTTAAAATAAATCAGCCACTATTAGTAATAAATAAACACCCCTCTCACACCTCTCACACAGCGATTATTAGGAACACCTATCAATTTCTCATTACTGCAATTATCTAATCAACCAATCACATGGCAGTTGCTTCAATGCATTTAGGGGTGTGGTCCTGGTCGAGACAATCTCCTGAACTCCAAACTGAATGTCAGAATGGGAAAGAAAGGTGATTTAAGCAATTTTGAGCATGGCATGGTTGTTGGAGCCAGACGGGCCGGTCTGAGTATTTCAAAATTTGCTCAGTCAACCAAAATCGGCAGTCCTGAGTCCTGTGAATGGGCCAACTGATTCAAGCTGATAGAAGAGCAACTTTGAATGAAATAACCACTCGTTACAACCGAGGTATGCAGCAAAGCATTTGTGAATCCACAACACGCACAACCTTGAGGTGCATGGGCTACAACAGCAGAAGACCCCAGAAGGTACCACTCATCTCCACTACAAATAGCAAAAAGAGGCTACAATTTGCAAGAGCTCACCAAAATTGGACAGTTGAAGACTGGAAAAATGTTGCCTGGTCTCATGAGTCTCGATTTCTGTTTAGACATTCAGATGGTAGAGTCAGAATTTGGCGTAAACAGAATGAGAACATGGATCCATCATGCCTTGTTACCACTGTGCAGGCTGGCGGTGGTGGTGTAATGGTGTGGGGATGTTTTCTTGGCACACTTTCGGCCCCTTAGTGCCAATTGGGCATCATTTAAATGCCACGGCCCACCTGAGCATTGTTTCTGACCCTTTGTGGCCACCATGTACCCATCCTCTGATGGCTACTTCCAGCAGGATAATGCACCATGTCACAAAGCTCAAATCATTTCAAATTGGTTTCTTGAACATGACAATGAGTTCACTGTACTAAACTGCCCCCCACAGTCACCAGATCTCAACCCAATAGAGCATCTCTGGGATGTTGTGGAACGGGAGCTTCGTGCCCTGGATGTGCATCCCACAAATCTCCATCGACTGCAAGATGCTATCCTATCAATAAGGGCCAACATTTCTAAAGAAAGCTTTCAGCACCTTGTTGAATCAATGCCACGTAGAATCAAGGCAGTTAAGAAGGCGAAAGGGGGTCAAACACAGTACATGGTGTTCCTAATAATCCTTTAGGTGAGTGTATAATGCAATGATGATTAAATCTTAAAGTTATAGTGTTCTTTCGCTAGTGGTTGTTTCACTCAGCATTTCACTGGCCACAATTTTGACATCGATATCGGGGAAAAACTGCCATATACCGTAGATATTTTTAATATTATCTCATAATTTGGCAGCAGGTATATTAGGCAGCTGTCACTTTAAGACCTGATGCACAGAACCATTATACTGTTACAGATGCTTTTTATTTTACAACTATTTACGTTCACTAAAACCGTAACTTGGGTGTGAGCACAAAATCTGAGGGAATGAGTCAAATTATGCACAATACGAGCAATCCCACGTTGAAATTCAAGCTCTAACACCAACAATATTCACCTGGAGAAAATGAAACGAGTGAGTGAAGGGAGGCGGGTTTGTGTGTAACTCGCTGTTGGAGAAATTAAGAGAGCGTGAAAGCGCAGCTGGTATCGTGTTGAAAATTAGTATCGGAAGTGTTTCAGATATGTCATTATCGATATGTATCGAAAAATCTATATACATATTTTTGTATATAGAGCCGGAAGCGAAGGGGAGGGACTTAGGCTCTCTATATCACTTACCTCTGCAGATATTTAAAGTGTTTTTTTTTATTATTATGAATATAAGATTGACCTGAAGAATATCAAATGCAGGTAATACACTTGCTTAGCCGATATACTCAGAACTATACATCATACAATAATGATTTTCGTGCCTATGACCGAATCACAACCGTAGAGCCATATCACACTCTTACTTTAGTGATATTGCATGGGGAATTTGTTTACTAATTGTAGTTATGCAGGTTTTAATGTCAGGGTCATGCAATGCCCTTGGTCACTTTTATCCCTCAGTGTGAATGAATGGCTCAAGCCCAAATGTCACACACCTACGCTTCTTAAATACTGGTAATCTGTAAGCCTTCTAAGAATAGGCTTTCCAAAGGAGGCCAGTTCCTACCGAGAATTACCTTACTAACCATCATTCAGACAGCCATTTTATTATTTCAAACAATTCATAGCAGATTTTACTTACAGTGGATTAGGAGTGTTTGTGACAACATGTGGTTGTCATTGGCAGTTAAGCAATTAGCACATCAAAATGATATCTAAAGTATGTTACACCAGGATAAACTCATGGTTTACAAAGAGGTGCGAAAAGTTGAACGACTAAGAGATTACATTATGTAAGAGGGCAACACCGTCATACTTTGTATGAATGCGTTTTGCAACATATTCCACATACAAACTATTTAAAAAAGCATTCAATAAACTGAGCATGAGCCAGTAATGCTAATTTCCAATATAGTATGTGAAAATCAAACTCATCCTGTTTGGATGCTCATTATGAAACACTGCAGTTCATCTATGGACGCAAACTAATCCAGGCACATTACGCAGTACGGATTACATGACAGCATACAGACGGCAGATGAAGGGAAAGAGGGAACACTGTGTGGTCTGAGGATGAGTGAACATAAATAGATTAGCCAATCAGAACTGGGCTGGAGAAGGAACACAGCTTGGCAAAAGTGATAAACACACCCAGAATTCATCAGACCTTATGCCATTAGTGCAGTCCAACAGATTGGATGTTTTGCATTGGGAACAACAGAGAGTAAAGAGCTTTTACACAAATGAGAACATATTTAGGGCACCAAACTAACACTCTGGTTGTCCAGCAATTGTCCATCCTCTTTTGGCGCCAACTCAACGAGAGGCACTGGCTTGGCTTCGGAAGACCAGGAAGAGTAGTTTGAGGAACAGTAGGAGACTAAAGCGGAGGATTCGGGCCACCATGAGAACCGCCAGGCGGGCCAGCGCCATGGAGGTGCCCTCGTTCCTGCGCCAGCTAGTGAAGGAAACCGAGAAGATGGTAACCTTCTTCTTCAAGGGTGGGCGACGGGAGTCGGGAGCTGATGATGACTACTTTGAAAATGAAGAGGACATAGGTAGACCCTACCTAGAAAGGCCCAATTTGGCGAAAGATATAGAAGAAGGGGGTTCGAAATGGGGCATTAACTACGCCATGGCCAGTATGCAGGGCTGGCGCGCCCAGATGGAGGACTCCCACACCTGCATGCCAGAGATGACCGAGGCCTTGCCAGACTGGAGCTATTTTGCCGTGTTCGATGGACATGCGGGGAGAATGGTGGCTCAGTACTGCTCCAAAAACCTGCTGGATTTTATTCTCGACACAGGTACTCACCGATTTAAGTATTACTGTCTGGAAGATAAGGGATGAAAGTTGAACATCCAAAGAGTTGTGCTGATGTGCTTTTATTTAAAGATGAAAATGACACCACAATATAGAAATAAAGCGAGGTTTGAGAGTTTTTCCAACAATAATCCAAAACGTTTTTTTTTTTTTTAACATTAAAGGATCTAAAGATTTTTTTTAAATCGATTAAAAGGTGTTAAAATAGTGCATATCATATTACCATGGAAAATTTGGGCCAATTAATAGGCCAGTCCAATATATATTGGATCACACAAACTAATGTAAGGTTTTACAAGCAGAGCTCAGAGAGAAAAGTTCAAAGAAAGATTGTGAAATAGTATATAAATATAATAAGAGGTTATTTTTTACAGTTTCATTCCGTTTTCTAAGAATTATGTGCTTACATAACAAATAATTCGATTATTTTGAATGATAAAAATAGTCAACTTAGTTTTTAGACAAAGTTTTACAAAGTTTTGGTGTAATATATATATATATATACTGTATATATATATATATATATTTATATTTATTAGCCATTACATTTTTGGAAAATGGTCCATAAAATGAAAAAATATATATATATTTTTTATTTACTGGAAGTGAAGAGTAAAAAAAATTAGTAATGTAAAAGTAGGGTGAAAGGCACTGGGCAAAAAGAAAGACCTTGTTTAATTATTCCCGTGCTTGACCCTGTTCTATGATTGTATAATCAGGTTGTGTGACGGTGGATGAGGATGTAGAACATGTCAAAGATGGCATCAGAAATGCCTTCCTCGGCATCGACCGCCACATGCACGCCCAGGTCCGCAATGAGAACTGGGACAACAGCGGATCTACAGCAACGGCTGTCATGGTGTCTCCACGAAACATCTACTTCATCAACTGCGGCGATTCCCGGACCTTCCTTTGCCGTAACAGCCAGGTGGTCTTCTACACGGAGGACCACAAACCCTTCAACCCGCGCGAGAAAGAGCGCATCCAGAACGCCGGGGGCTCCGTCACCCTGCAGCGCATCAACGGTTCACTGGCCGTGTCCCGCGCACTTGGAGACTTTGACTTTAAGGAGGTGGAATGGAGGACTCAGACCGAACAGCTGGTGTCCCCTGAACCAGAGGTGTACGAGCTGGAGCGAATGCCAGAAGATGAGTTCCTGGTAGTGGCATGTGATGGTGTCTGGGATGCCATCAGTAATGAGGAGCTGTGTGCGTTTGTGCGCAACCGCCTGCAGGTCTGCGATGATCTGAGGGAGATCTGCTCTCAGGTCATTGACCTCTGCCTCTATAAGGTTGGTATCTGCAGTGACAGGGTTACCTAAAGGCCAAATTTCGAGTTCGAGTTGCCTGATGCCCGTGCACAGGTTTTTATTTTTAGCAAGGTACCAGCATACTAACAAATGTTCTGAGGAAGTTTGCAATTGGATAGGAAAAACATTTCAAATAATAGTATGCTTCATTGTTGACCAAATTAGACTGCACTGAAAATACACTCTTAAAGGGATACTCCACTTTTTTTGGAAATAGGCTCATTTTACAACTCCCCCAGAGTTAAACAGTTGGGTTTTACCATTTTCGAATCCATTCAGTTGATTTTCTGAAACTGCCTGCTTACCGATATTCTTCTAAATATCCAGACTGATCTCATGAAGTAGCGTGTGTATGACACGCCAATTCGTATTTCCATTTTTGGCGTGCTATCAAGACGCATAATCGCCTTTCAGCGTGTTTATGAACGCCGTTGACTTAACGTTATATAAATATATGACTTACCTCAACCCCATTCCTAAACTTAACCGTCACTGGGGTTAATGGCATTTATGACTGGAGATTTGATGGCGTGTACGGACACGCGGAATGACGCGGACGTTAATGGCGTAGACATATACGCATACACGCGGATACACGCGGATAGCTCAAAATGCGTAGAGATAACACGCCACCTGACTCGAAAGTGGCGTATATGTTTACGCAAAAGTCATGATGTCATGTTGAAATATCATAAAATCAACTGAATGGATTCGAAAACGGTAAAACCCAACTCTTTAACTCTGGGGGAGTTGTAAAATGAGCCTATTTCCAAAAAAAGTGGAGTATTCCTTTAAAATCAAAGGTTGTTTTTTGGCATTGTTTCATGAAGAACTTTCTATTACTCAAAAGGTTCTTTAAAGTGAATATAAAGGTTCTTTAGGAGTTTTTAAAGGGATGGTTCGCCCAAATATTAATTTGGTCCAAGTTGGTATGAATTTCTTTCTTCTGCTGAACACAAAAGATTTTTTTTGAAGAATATTGGTAACCAAACAGTTAATGAGCACCATTGACTTCCATAGTATTTTTCAATGGATTTCAAAGTCAATGTCAACTGTTGGGATACCCATATTCTTCAAAATATCTTAATATTTCTATAATATTTCTAAGATATTTCAAAATATCTTAACTTTCTAGCAGAAGAAAGAAATTCAAACAGGTTGGGAACAACTTGAGGGTGAGTAAATGATGACTGGATTTTTGGGTGAACTATCCCTTTAAATGTTCTTCACATTTTTAAGAACTGTTCACCGAAAGGTTCTTTGGCAAACCAAAAGCGGGTCTTCTAAAAACGTATTTTTGAAACTTTATTCTTAAGAGTAATGTTCAGTTTTTCTCACAAAAAAAAACTGTATTTTTTTTTAATCAGTGTTCACTGATTTCAGATTTATCTGCCCCTAAATGTACCCTAAAAACAACACAGACTGTAATTGGTCGCTTTAAATGTTTCTCGAGTGGGTGATTCTGGGTGAAATTAATGTACACATGGTTATCATTAAAGTAAACTGGACTTTGTCAATAGTCAAATGTCTGGTCAGATATAGAACATAAAAATAAGCACCAAAATATATCTCACATTATGATAACCACTCCATCAATATGCTTTTATTTTATGCTAGTCATTAACCCATGACGTCAATAACTCTGACGAGTACGTCAATGTCAAGTCAGTGTTAAATTGCCAGAAATACTGTCACCTTGTAAAACGTTTAACTCGTTTAGGACAGCTTTGTTATTTAAAATGATTACTGGCACTTGGGTTATGTAATATAATATAATGAGATGTCGCATGCTGATGTGAGTAATACAGTTTCAGCTTGACCTGTTCTATGAAGACACTGTTCTTTAAATAGAATGATTATAAGGAAGACAAGAAGAGAGCGAGAGAACCAGCGGCTCAATCAGGCCAAGAGGTCGTTTGGTTTAGAACTAACATAATGCATATTGCATTGCGTGCATTTATGTGTATAAGTGTGTTTTAGTATTATTGATCTACTCTAATATCATTTTTACATTATATTATAAGGGTTTTAAATTCTTAAATGTCTTCGCATCTTACAGGGAAGTTTAGACAACATGAGCATTATCATCATCTGCTTCGATGGCGCCCCCAAGGTGACACCAGAGGCACTGCAACACGAGGCAGAGTTAGAGCAGCTCATCGAGCAAAAAGTGGCAGGTAATTTGACCAATTCATATATAAATTTGAGGCAATTATACATATTAGATTAGATGAAATAGCCATCTTAACAAAAAAGTCTATTTTCTCTCATATTCCCTAGAGATCATTAATGTGATCAGATCTAAAGATGAGGAACCTGACCTGCTACATGTGATGAAATTCCTGGCATCTGAAGGTATTCCCGGCCTCCCACCAGGTGGAGGAATCTCATGCAAGTGAGTATCATGGACAGCAATATATAAAATTAGGCCTACTATACACTTCAAAAACGAGACATAATAGCCTGGTTTCACAAACTGGGTTTAGATTAAGGCAGGATGAGGCCTTTTAAGAACATGTAAGGCTTTTATTTCAAGCTCTATTTTCAAAACTCTTTACATTCGATTATCATGAAAACAAATCTCAGAGAACGGTTGACTAGTAGGTACCAATGTGTTATTAAACCAAAGGTTTGTTTTGCGCCCGAGTTGTCTTTTAATGACAGAATTTTCATTTTAAGTAAGTTTAACCATCATACACCCGGCGGGGGCTGGCACCACAAGTGTTTTTTGCTAGTTTCAGCCTGACACAGTTATCTTTTTTTTTTTACGTCCTGTGTTACGTTTAAATAGCAAATGCTTTTGAGCCTATTTGTGCGCCCATAGGCGTGTTGGTCTGAAAACTAAGTGTGTTCAGGTGCTTTATTGGCACGTTGCTATTTTGAGGTGCAATTTTTTTTTTTATTGTTGCAACATGACATCACGACTTTTGCGTAAACATGCACGCCACTTGTGTATTGCGTGTATGTCTAAGCCGTTAAATGTCCGAGTGATTCCGCGTGTGTGTACACGCCGTTAAATGTGATGTCCGCGCGAAACGAAGCAAAATGTAGATCTACATCTGGGGAGCCATATTTTTTTTTCTAGGATGGTAGGGGAAGACTCATAAATGGTATTAACCCCAGTGACGGGTAGGTTTAGGGACGGGGTTGAGGTAGGTCATAGATTCATATATACAGTAATAAGTCAACGACGTTCATAAACACGCTGAAAAGCGATTATGCGTGTTGATAGCACGCCAAAAATGGAAATACGAATTGGCGTGTCATACACATGCCATTTCATGAGATCAGTCTGATTGTTTAAAGTGCGTGTTAGGAATGTGCACCAATAGGTGGGTCCACAACGCACGTACACTCTGTTCATTACACACACATGTAAATGCAGCAGCACACAAACATGTCAAATATTAAAAATAAAAGGATTACAATGTAAAAGTTTATTATTGTGTACATAAAGATATGGTGGAATCGCGGACGAGCAGATCTGTTTCCTCTCTGGAGCAGCGTTCTGCAAATTCCGCCATGGCGCGAGCGCAACTAGCTTTTAAAGGAAATGCGAGATGAGACACTGATTGGTTTATTGCACATTAACACACCCATTACTCATTAAGAGAACAGGGACAACCCTTTTAAACAATTTTTCCAGCAAAAGTCGTGGGCGCTCTAGAGTCGCCGTGCGCTCTAGACCATGCGCTTTGATTGTTAAAATAGGGCTGTTTGAGTCATTTTGCTTCTTAGTTAAATGTGTTGATTAAAGAATGTTTAGATATTTTATTAGAAAACAAGTACAAAATTCTAAGCAAGAAAATATGTGTGTGTGTGTGTGTGTTTCTCAATCTCTGTTTTTTGTGCCTTTTTTCTATATTGCAGGAGAGATTGCATAATTGCCGCATATCAGAAATATGCAGCAGCCTTTAGACCTCTTGACCCAATGGTATGTGTTTGAAATGTGTGCATATATGTTTTAGCTGTACTAAATAAACCATTAAAGGGTTAGTTCACCCAAAAATGAAAATTAAGTCATTAATTACTCACCCCCATGCTGTACCAACCCCGTAAGGCCTTTGTTCATCTTCGGAGCACAAATGAAGATATTTTTTATTAAATTTGAGAGCCGAATCACTACCACATTGGCTCCTAAGGGAATGACACTTGACGGCCCAGAAAGTCAATGAAGAAAATGTTTAAATATTACGAGAATACTTTTTGTGCGAAAAAACAAACAAAAATAACGAGTTTATTCGACTATTCCTTTTCTTCCTTGTTGGCCTGAAACGAGACTTCAAGAGATTTTCACGACGCATGCGCGAGAACTGAACTGAAGTAGTTGAAGGAGATCGCAATTCTCGCGCATGCGTCGTGGAAATCTCTTGAAGTCTCGTTTCAGGCCAACAAGGAAGAAAAGGAATAGTTGAATAAAGTCGTTATTTTTGTTTTTTTTTTCGCACAAAAAGTGTTCTCGTCGCTTGATAAACTTATAGTTGAGCCACTGTAGTCACTTGGAATATTTAAACATATTCTTCATTGACTTCCTGGGCCGTCAAGTGTCATTCCCTTAGGAGCCTATGTGGTAGTGATTCGGCTCTCAAATTTAATAAGAAATATCTTCATTTGTGCTCCGAAGACGAACGAAGGTCTTACGGGGTTGGTACAGTATGAGGGTGAGTAATTAATGACTTAATTTTCATTTTTGGCTGAACTAACCCTTTAACCCTTTCAAAAAATCCAACATTTTATTTGATATGTTTTTAGTTGTCTAAATATAAAGGGTTAATTTTCATTTTACAAACATCAATAAAAATGCTGATATTCTCAAATACTCTTTCATCATTTAAGGATATCGGTGGTTCTGATGACTCCACCTAGTGGCCGTTACCCTGAAGATGGAATCAAGCCTTCAATCTCTGTAGATGTAATAATTCATGTGAGGACTATATTTGTGTGCCACTTGCTTTACAGAGGTCAAATCGTTTAGCCAAACTGTTGCTTTTGTAAATCAATGTTGTATGTTGTACACACTGAAACAGAAACAGGAAGAAGAGATGTATTTATTAAATGCTTTCATAAAAGCGGCTTTCGCACCAGAGGGACGTTTTCAGAACTATTGCCGGAAAATTACCCTAGGGCAAAATTTAGTTATCGGGGGACCCTGGTGACTAGTTTATATCAGAGGGAGTCAAAACTACCCAGTGCAAAAGCCCATAAAGAAAAAGCACTTAACATTGACACCATGGAAAGGTTCTCGTGAAAAATATGTAGATCATTAAATAATAAACACTTAAGTATTCCATAATGTGGCTTTAAAAATGCCACAGAAATAAAATAAATTGTAGATATAAAAATAAATATCCCACTTGTAGCTGGGATAAGAGAAATCATTACCATTAAAAATACAACACCTTTTAATAAATATAATGTTACTTTTTTAAATCTACATATAAATAATGTGATGTAACATTGCAGTTGTGGGTTGTTTCACGATTAACTTCACAATTCACATAATATTTACAAACATATGTAAGATACTTTAATGTATAATTGTATTATAAATGTTTTTCTTGTATTTGTTTGATGTTAAGCTCTGCAGAGAACATAGACTTGCATAACCGAACTTGTACACAGCAGTGAAACTAACATCTGTAAAACTTTATAAAATGTACTTGAACTTTAAATTCAATTGTCTCATTTTATTTTTTATTAAAGTATACCTCTGTCATTTTATGAGAATGTTTCTTCAAAATGTCTGGATTTCCATGTGCTATGTCTAGATTTGAGCACACAATTTATATTAGTCACAATGGGCAGGACAAAACATGCCAGATTATAGTGTATCTGCTGTACAGATTAATGAATCATAAAATGATAACATTTTGCCGGAACTGAAATCGGTTCTCGGTCCGATCCACTTTTTCAACAAGGTTTTTCAAAAAACGCTGACTGCACCTTTAAAGCACTTTTGTAGCCAATCAGCAGTAGGGGGCGTATCCACTCAATATTTACTATTACATTATAAAAATCAAAAGCTGTATGAAAATGAACAGTTGCATTTAAATTAATGTTACCGAAGATCAGTAAATACTGTAACAAATGTATTGCTCATTGATAGTTAAAGGTGCAATAAGTGATTTCTGAGAAAGTGGATCACAACACACGTGTAGCCAATCAGCAGTAGGGGGCGTGAGCGAGAGGGAGATTTGAAGAAAGACTGTAGAAAGAGAGATGGCAGAGAGACATTACAAAAGAGAAAAGCTCTGAGGAAAATCAGTGGGAAAAGAAGAGTTATGATCAGGCAAGAGCTTTAGGACATGCGTTAATTTATGAAAATAGAGGCCGAAGCGGTAGGCTAAGGCCTGAAAATAGACACAGAGGTTGGAGTTTCTTCTCCATACATGAGTAACATTGGTTTTGCAGTTTCACAGAAACAAGATGCTGTTGTTATAATAGTATCTATACTAACAGGGCAGTTTTGAGGATCATTGTTTGTCTAAAGCTGCTCACGACTAACAACCAACTCTTTCTTGTACTCCTGTGTGCTGTAAGTTAATTTTTTTGTGCTTCCTTATCTTCGCTTTATTCTTCTCAAAGCATTATTTTGCTTCGCTTCAGCTATGATAAAGAGATGTCCACACTTGCATAGCATGTTTGTGCATTTTGGCAGAGAAATGAAGGAAGGGGTGTATTTGGTAGTGTTGATTTAAAAAAAAAAACAGTGTTCAACAACGATTCTCGGAAATGGCATACAGCATATATGGCATACAGCTCCCTAGCCAACCTGACAGAGATTGACCAAAGTCTGGGCACACTTCCACAATTCACACAGCTTATCAGTGAAAGCCGGAAAGCAGGCAGGTGGATTTTTATTATAGACCATTTCACAAGATGTAAACAACACTGGTCCAGAAACACTTCCTGTTTCAGTTTGTAACTGTTTTCTTTATTTCACATGTAAAGAAAACATCTTAAAGATGTTTGTTTAACTTTTTGATTCAGTTTTAAATGTTCTTTTGGTTGTATTTTATCCCAGATTTTATTTAGTGTTAAAAAACTGAAACAGGAAGTGCTTCTGGACCAGTGTTGTTTACATCTTGTGAAATGGTCTATTAAACAAGTGTTCTTCATTTTATTTTGGCATTCACCCAATTGTAAAAATTAAAAATTTTCATTTAATATTGTCTTTGCATGTAGTTGAATCGGGACTGTGCTAACTTTTGTATTCAATAGATGGTGCTGTTTAACCATATTGCATTAGACTTCACTTCAAAATGAACGTTCTGTTGTCATTTACTCACCCTCAAGTTGGTTCAAAACTGTATGAATGTATTTCTTATGCTGAACACAAAGGAAGATATTTTGAACAAAGTCAGCAACCAAAGAGTTAACTAACCCCATTGACTTCCACTGTATTCATTTTTCCTACTATGGAAGTCAATGGTGTACATCAACTGTCTGGTTACTGACATTCTTCAAAATATCTTCTTTTGTGTAAAATTTATAAATTCATACAGGTTTGAAACAACTTGTGGGTGAGTAAATGATGACAGAATTTTCATTTTGAAGTGAACTATCCCTTTAAGCCATGTCTGAAAATCATTGCATTTAAAGATATCAAAGATATTATTCAGTTAAACTATGGGGTTACTGTGTCCATTTCTTTTACTGTCTATGGGTCGCATAGACTGTAGGATAGAGAGGCTCGGGAGCGCGCATGCACGTCACATCCGAAGGATTTCGCAGGGAATCCGACCCGGAGACCTCACATATAAATATGAATATTGGCCTTCAGAGATAATAGCAAAACCCGAAAAGTGGATCATTGCAATGTGTGATTACAACCCCTTCAAATACAGGCAATAAAAAAAGGATTCATTTTATAAAAAAAAGTTAGAACCTTTAAGTGAACAAAACAGCTAGGAAAGAACACTTAAGTGTAAATTAGATATTGTTTGTTTGTGTGACACGTGTGGGGGGTTATAGGCCATCATATACTGTACTTTGCGTCCGAAGGGAACTTTGAAAATCCATCAGCAGAATGTGTTACTGAAGTGTCATGGACCATGACACCTCTATACTAATTACTTAAACCTCATCTTTGGTGTTATTGTCATAATTTAATGTTCAAAGACAGTTAAAAACAAGGTCACGCTCAAGCGCACTGAAGTTTAACCTGTTTTTCAATGCAAGTTGCAACAACATGGGCAATACTAACGGTGTGTTTACCATATCAATAAACTGAAAACTGAAAGAACCACCAGAGCCTGAGAGAATTTGCACTCTGCCAGACGTTCCCGAACAGGTAAGTTCAACAGCCAAATATTTTGCCTGTGTGACTAGAGTTTACAGATTGTACAGTGTTCATCTTACAGTGTCATTAACAAGATATGCTAATAAATAATTGTGTGAAAAATACGTAACTTTTTTAACACTAGAAAAAACTTGTTAAATTTACTGACATGTGGACAAAGATAAATAACATGCATAACATAAAATAACATGCATTAACTATTAGTGCTAATGTGTCATGAATCTGTTGCAAACTTTAACTGTCTCAAAGCTTCTGTCAATGTAAAAAATAGCAGTTTAAAAATGGTATTAAAATAATTTGGAAATAGTTATTGAACATATTTGAATGCTATTATTTTTCTTGTTTCCTGTATTCATATGGATATAAGTTAGCCAAGGTTTAGCCATTTTTGTTGCATTTCTGTCATTTTTAAAAATTTCAATATAGTTTTTTATTAAGTTTTAGGTTTTTATTTTAGTTTAGCTTTTTTTGTTGTTGTGTTGGTAATTTAGCAGTTATACAAGTAATAACTTTTTTTCTTTTAGTTTTAGTTAACTTATAGTAATGGGAACCAGTCAATCAGTAGTATATTCGTACGATTATGAAAATGTATGAATGTAGTCATTATTAATACATATTCCTCATACAGTACTATTAGGCCTGCTAATATTCATATTATGTTAGGCCTATATTACATAAAATTATATTTGTCCGTGTAAATATAATAAACACAAGTTTAGTAATCATTTAACTAATGAGGAACACCTCTACCAGAAAAAAAATTATTTTTGCGGAAGAATGTTGTTTTGGTTGTGCTTCGGCTCGGAGTGTGCGGATGAATCCTATCCTACTGCTCATAAAACATTCACTATGCTGAGGTATAACTTTTTTAACAGTCTATGGGTATAACCAGGGATGAAAAGGATCTCAAGCTGACAAGCTAAAGACATGAAGCTTTAACGTTACCTACAAATAGACACGGTAGGCTACTTAATTGAAAATATTTTTTTTAGCATAAATACAACAACAATGATAATACTTGCAAATATGATTATAAATATACTATGAAAATACATAATACTATACAATCTATCAGAGAGCTAAATGACCATTTATATCAGAGAGCTAAATGACAATTCTGTTCGGTAAAATACCTACTTACCTGCTGAGTAATAAAGACGCCATTTCCGCCTCGTTTTTACAATATTTCAAATCGAAAAGTTCTGTCCATCTCTGAAGTGCCATATGCCACTGAGGCCAGGCCAGTGCTGATTCTTGTCTTATTGAGCTCTGTCGACTCTCTTTTTGCCAGGAGACTTTCCTAAACGGGTGAGTTAAGATCGTTGTGACAACACTAACCTCTGTCACTCACACGTGCGTCAAAGTAGCCGGATCACATTTTCTATATGACGAGAAATGCACGGAGAGTGACGTATAAGCAATTTCTCGCGAAAACAATCCTGCCCACTCTAACAGGATTTCCATTTTGAACAGCGGGTAAGATAACAATCTTTTTCAAGAAGGACTGTTGTTAATTTTGACAACAACAAAAAAAAGTTCTAGACCTAGATAAGAACTTCTTTGTTTGTTTGCACTTAGCATTTTTTACACCAGGGATAGGCCTATTCAACAAAGAATGAAAAGTATACCAATCCTGGCCTCCTCTATATACATCATAATAAGATAAGATGTGATGCTGGTTGTTTCTGTTGATGTATCACATGCTTAACTTAGTTTTGTTCAAATTGTTTTTCATTTCAATGGCTCCTAACATTACCCAGTGAGACCAGATGACACTGAAGGTCGAAGGTGATCCAGGCTATGGCAGTACATCTGCTAGAGCTCCATTCACAGATATGGATGGGTCAGAGACTGTACCTCTCCTTATCCCAGAAGATCCGCCCCAGCAGTACATCTGGAAACCCCTGAGCAAAGAGGAACTGGAGAAGTGCGCAGGGGGACCGGAATGGAGGAAGTTTCGTTCTCGTCTGGTACTTTGCTTCTGGATTGTTTGGCTGATAATGCTTGGGACCGCTATCGCAATAATCATTCAGAGCCCACGGGCGGTGTCTCCTTCACTATACTGGTGGCAGAAGGATGTGTTTTACCATCTGCAACCAGCACTCTTCATGGTTGCAGACAGTGACGAGCTCAGCCCTATCGGCAGTAAGTTAATAAAAACATCCTTTACAGCAGTAACAATAATGGTAGATTGCATCTCAGAACATTAAACCTGCTTATCCACCATCTATCCATGAGTCTAAAATTACACCCACATGTCAAAGTTAAGTCAGTGTTGTGTTAATGATGTATCTCCACAAACCACATCACAGGACATTTACCACATGTTGTGGCAATGTCTAGTAGACAGTAAATCAGACAATAAATACAAGGTAAATGTACAATTTGTGTGGCATATTATGTGCTTTTTATTT